TTTTAATAATGTTTATTCTTCCAATCCATAAGCAGGTGATATCTTTCCATTTCTTTGTGTCTTCTTCTATTTCTTTTAACAGTGTTTTATAGTTTTCTTTGTATAGGTCCTTTACCTCTTTTGTTAGATTTATTACCAAGTATTTGATTTTTTTTGTTTTGATAATAAAAGGGATGGTTTTTTTGATTTCTTCTTCTTCAGATTTATTGTTTGTGTATAGGAAGGCTACTGATTTTTGCATGTTGATTTTGTATCCTGCCACTTTGCTGAACTGACTGATTAGTTGAATTAGTTTTTCTGGGAGTTTTTGGGGTTCTCTATGTATATTATCATATCATCTGCATATAGTGATAGTTTGACTTCTTCTTTTCCTATTTGGATTCCTTGGATGTCTTTCTCTTGTCTTATTGCTCTGGGTAGGACTTCCAGTATTATATTGAAAAGCAGTGGTGAGAGTGGACATCCTTGTCTTGTTCCAGATCCTAATGGGAATGCTTTCAGCTTTTCGCCATTGAGAATGATACTGGTTGTTAGCTTGTCATATATGGCCTTTATGATGTTGAGGTATGTTCCTTGTATCCCAAGAATTTCAAGGGCTTTTATCATGAATGGGTGTTGCACTTTGTCAAAAGCTTTCTCGGCATCTATTGATATTTTCATATGGTTTTTATATTTCTTTTTGTTGATGTGTTGGATAACGTTGATTGATTTTCAGATGTTGAACCATTCTTGTGTTCCTGGAATGAATCCTACTTGGTCATGGTGAATTATCTTATGGATACATTGTTGGATTCTGATAGCTAAAATTTTATTGAGGATTTTTTGCATCAGTATTCATTAGGGAGATTGACCTGTAGTTTTCTTTTGTGTGTGTTGTCCTTGTTTGGTTTTGGTATTAGTGTAATGTTAGCTTCATAGAACGTGTTTGGTATTGTCCCTTCCTTCTCAATTTTTTGGAAGAGTTTGTGAAGGATAGGCACTAATTCGTTTCTGAACGTTTGGTAGAATTCATTTGTAAATCCATCAGGTCCTGGGCTTTTGTTTTTGGGGAGGTTTTTGATTACCATTTCAATTTCACTGCTTGTAATTGGTCTGTTTAGGTGTTCTATTTCTTCTTTATCTAGCTTTGGGTGATTGTAGAGTTGTAGGAATTTGTCCATCTCCTCCAGATTGTTGAACTTGTTTCCATATAACTGTTCATAGTAGTTTCTGATTATTCTTTTGATTTCTGCTGTGTCTGTTGTGATTTCTCCTCTTTCATTTATGATCCTGTTTATTTGTGCTTTCTCCCTTTTTTCCTTTGTGAGCCTGGCTAGGGATTTGTCTATTTTATTTATTTTTTTTCAAAGAACCAGCTCTTCGTTTCATTGATCTTTTGGATTGTTTTTTTAGTTTCAATTTCATTTATTTCTGCTTTAGTTTTTATTATTTCTTTTCTTCTACTGGTTTTGGGGTTTTTTTTGTTGTTCTTTTTCTAGATCTTTGAGCTTCAAGATTAGGTTGTTTCTTTGAGTTCTTTCTTGTTTCTTGATGTGAGCCTCTATCGCTATATATTTTCCTCTTGTTACTGCTTTTTCTGCATGGGAAGCACTTTTAAATGTGTTTTAAACCTTAGAACACAGAATTATGACTTGTATTTTAAAAGAAAATTTTATTTCTTAAATGTCCAGAAAGTAGCTGAAGGTCCCATCTTCCAGTAAGTTCTGATATAAGAAAGCCCTCCCATGAAAATGCTGAAAAGAAACTTGGCTGGATTGCAGAGCAGGGTACTTAGCAATAGAGTAGAATCAGGAGTGAACTGAGATCATTTCTAGAATTAGATCAGTTCTAGAATTAAATTATAGCCGGGATTCTCATGAAGGTTACAAAATTTATTTTCATTCTGAGTTTCTGTAAGCATTTTTCTAAAACTTCCAAAGAAAATTTGAATTTGGTTTGATACTTCACATATTTGGTATCTACCCAAAGACAAATTATTTTTGGAAATTTTAGCAAATTTATTCTCCCACTCTCGAATTAGTCAGTAAAACCAAAATAAAAATTTTCTGCCTTAAAAAACAAGTGTTTTAAATGTCAGGCACAAGAACTTTAGGAGAATACAGACCAATCATGTGGAAGGAAGTGCTGGATATTAAGTCCAAATTTCTTGGGACCTGAGGGTCTCTAATTGAGCTTTTTCACCACAATTGAATTGTTTGGTTGCAATCAGATTCTACTGTGGAACATGGTGCTCTTTAAAAAGACATATTTATAGCACAGATAAATGGAAACTATGGAATATTTCCAATTGCTCACAGTATCCTTAAATTTCTTTCTAGAGAAAAATTTCTAGAAAAAGTCCAGAGACCAAAAATAATTTGATACACTAAAATAACTGTTATCTGACTTTTTATGTCTGCTCATTGAAAGGGAAGTTTTCAGCAGCATCTCTCTGGGTATGTAGATCAATAAGAGAAACAGCTGCAGTGCATTATCCAAGGCCAGAGTTTGGGATGTGTGCAATCCTAACAGAGGGAAGCATAAGAGAATAGAAAAGTCTAACTTGAATTAATACAATCTAAAATTTGATTAAACAGGCAAGTTAAAATCAGTATCAGTAGCTAAAGTGATACCACCTTAAAAGTATAATAAATGTTAATGAAATGTCTAATGTTTGCATGATACCAGACACCAGGTGGAGTGGACAAATAATGGTAGCTACAGTGAACTAAAGGCATTTTATTTTGATGCTGGAAAAAATGAGATATTATTCACATTTTAATATCTGATGGGGCTAAGCAGTGTATAACAATGTTGACGTTGATGGTGACGATATTTATAGGAAAGAGATATCTTCAGATGAGAATCTTCTCAGTGTGAACTGTACGGCAGAAAACGGTTTCTCTGCTTCTCTGCCCTTAGGCCTCAAAAGTGAGCATATGTAAGAATCTTCACCAACAATATTTAAATCATACAAAAATGAAGTGTCAGACACTTTCACAAGTGTGACATTGTCATAGACTTAAGCTTATTTAAATTGCTTTCACCATCATCGGAACACTTCATGCATGCAAGATTTTAATAATCTTTCCTGATGGTAAGTTTTATTCCCCCTATATGTCATCTGTGCCTGAAGTTCTGTAAAAATTCGTTTTGGATGGTACACAGAACCATATTCATGCACCTAATGGATCGTCTCTGCTCATATTCCCTAAATATGAATATTGATGACGTTCAGTGGCAATGATAGATTCCTTTTATTTCTTTTTTTTAAAAGATGTATTTATTTATGCATACAAGAACTGGGGTACAAGCCAGAGGTGTGAGAGGATTCCCCATTCTGGTTTAAACCAGTACACTGTACCTGTTGAAATACATGGTTTGACAGAATAATGAAATGCAATGTGTGAATCTTTATTAGGATTTGGATTTTTTAAAAGCAGCTAAAAGAGACATTTGCGGCACAGTTTGGAAACATTTATCATGAATTAGATATTAGCAAATATAGAATTACTATTAACATTCTTAGGTGTGATGATGCTTTTTGTGGTTAAGTAGGAAAATGTCCTTACTTTTAGGCAAGGAAATATCTAGAAATGATGTTTCATAATGTCCTCAACTTTATTTTAAATGATTAGATTAAAAATTGTGTATTTGCAGCATAATGACTATAGATAATAACACCGCATTGCATAGTTGAAAGCTGCTAAGAGTAGATTTTAAAAGTGGGTACGGACACAGCAACTATGGCCTGATGGTAACAAGTGAAAATCATTGCGAAGGGTACACAGATACTCATTGCACTAGTCTTTCAATATTTCCTGTGGTCTTGAAAAATGTCACAATAAAATGTTGAGAAAGGGTTCTTACGAAGCAATTCACAGAATCTCAGCATTGTGAGATTTGGAAGATTAGGTGGAGTCTTAGACCATCTTTTTCTTTGCTGATATTTGAATGATTTTATGTCACAAATGCCATAGCAGGATTATACTATACACAATGTCGAAATAAGCATTAAAAAGTATTAAAGTATATATGCCCTAAGTGATATTTGGTTTATCTCTGGGAGCGGGTATTTAGAGAAAATCTTATTTTCCTTATGTTTTCCAGCACACTTTTCAGCTTGACAACCTCCACCAACCTGCTCCTATACAACTTTGCAAAGTTCAGAATCGTGTATTTTCAGAAAACGTGAATAAAGTTTTTCATTACACTTAAAAAGGAAACAAAAACCTTAAAAACTAGCTGCTTCAGTTCCCATCAGTGAAATCCTCAAATAGGTCATGGAAATTAGAATCTTTATTGTTGGCGGCCCTCTACTAGAGGAGTTTGGAGCTATAAATAGGAGCCCCAGAATTCTGTCCTTGGTTCTCCCTCTGCGAGGAGCTGTGCCTGGAAACAAAAGGTAAGCAAGAGGGGGGAAAGTTAATGCTTTATTAATTTTTTTAAAGATTTATTTATTTATGCATACAAGAACAGGGGTACAGGCCAGTTGGGCAGGGGGTGAGAGGATTCACCAGAGACAGAGTGGGGAGCAGAACAGGCAGACTGAGATACACTGCTGAGGGGAGCAGCGGGCGAGTCAGGAGAGGTCTGCCGCGCCCTGTGGGCTGCTCCCTGCGCAGGCGGGGGTTCGAGGCTGCGGTTTGCTTCAAGTGCGGTTAACCCCTTGCGCCACCAGGGAGACCCCAAAGTTAATGCTTTAAAAGGCAAGCGGCGGCGGAAAAGTGAAATTCTTGGGCTGAGAGCGCGTCCTTTAACAGCTAAGTGTCCGGTCCACAGTGAACCCCAGCCGAAAACGCGGGGATCCCCGGGACCCCGCGTCCCCAGCCCCGGCCCGGCGGGCCCGCCCCCTCCGCCTCGGCCAATCGCGCGCGCGGGGGCGCGGCCGGGGCGCGGGGCGCGGGGCGGGCCGGGCGCCGAGGGTGTGTCGCGGCGGGGCGGGCGGGCCCAGGAGGTGCCAATTTTCCCGGGCGGCGGCGGCGCGGGGCGCAGGCGGAGAGGCCCGGCCGGCCCGGGCTCCGGCCGGGGCGTCGGGAGATGGCGGCGGGGGCCAGGCCGGAGGACGTGAGTGCGCGGCCGTGGCGGGCGGCGGGCCCCGAACCCGCTTCCTGGGCCGGGCGCGCGGGGCGGGGACTGGGGGCGGCGGGGCGCGCGGATCCGCCTGCGCGCGCCGGGAGGGGGCGCCTCCCGCGGGGCGGGCGGGGCGTGGGGCTGTGGGGGCGGCCCCGGGGTGGGGGCTGTGGGGCCTGCGCCTCCCCGGCTCCGGGCTCCCTGTCCCGGGGGGCTGCCGGGCCGGGGGCGCGCGCGTTGGGGGCGCAGGGGGGGCGCCTGCCCGCGTGCCGCGCGCGGCTTGGACCCGAAACTGGGTATTCACGTGACGCGCCTGGCCTGACAGCCCGGCCCGGGCGTGCTTCTGGGCGCCGGGCCGCGGGGCGCGCGGCTTGGACGCCTCCGGGGAGAATCTCCCCCCTGGCGGGTCCCCGGTTTGGCCCGAGGGGCCTGAGGACGCGGCCAGCGGCCCCCGCGCAGACCTGTGGCCAGCAGCGCCCGGAAACACCCTGGAGAAAAACAGTGTCGTGCTGTTTTGAATCCAGGCAAGGAAGGAATGACAGGATTTTTCAATCTCCTTAACTGGATGGAGCCAGGCCGTGTTACCAAAATCCCGGTGGCCTGGTTTGCCCTGTATTGCCCGGAGTGATGGGCTAATTGCAAAGTTGTTTGCTTCAGTACAGTACAATTTAAATAGATTAAAAAATTGTAGGGAAAACATGTTTTGGTGCCCAGAGTTAACTGGGTTGCCCCATTGGTCCGTAGTGCACTTCTTAGCCTTGAGAAATGGAAAGCAGACAGTTATTGAAGCATTAATTTAGACTAATATAAATTAATAATAGTATAATTATGATATATCTTTGTTTTTTTAAATCCCCCCCCATGATACTATCTTTGAACGAGATGCATCAGACAAGACACAAGAAAAACCAGCCCCATCAGACCATAGGTTCCTGCACGAACAGCAGCATAGTTATCTTGACTAAAAGCCAATTTCCAACGATAAGACTAACAATTGCTGTTTTTTTCAGTTGAGACATGGAAAACTAACTCTTAAGACCTAGAAATACATTTCAGATATATTTGAGACTCTTCTATAAAGAAGAATTTAGCGTTTCAATTTTCAAGGGTGACTCGAGAGCTGACAATTCATGGGAAAAAATTGACTAAAAGGAGAATGAGAGACTCTTAGAAAAATGCTTTTTGGTTGGTGCCAGTTACGCAGTGTTTTTAGATCTGTAGCTTTTAGCTTTAGGATGAGTACAATCCTATGTTTCACCAAACAGCTGGTGGTTAATATTTCACCGAAAGCTCCAGAGCTCAGTCTCTTTAGAACTGAACAAGTTGCCTCTTTGGGTATTTTGTACATTTTTCTATGATTCAGTAAAAAACTAAAAGTTAAAAAGGATCATGTCATAGTCCCAGACTTAAGTGAGTTAAGGTAGGTGAAGGTTTTTTAGTTAGGGATCATTTTTTTTGGCAAACAGTGAGACCAGCTCAGGCTAATTAAGGCGGAAAGGGATTTATTTGAAGGGTTATAGAATGGAAGAACATGTAGGCCTGTGAAAATATGCAAATAGAGTTCTAGAAAAGTGACAGTGCTTTTAACATCCACCTTGGGATGAATCTCAGCCACTGTCTTCGGCTCCCAGAGACACCTGGATAGGCCGGGTCTAGGCTGGTTCCATGACCAGTCTTGGGCCAGAGGACAGTGAAGAGTATGGAAGGGTGTTGCCTGAGAGACTTAATGTGGTAGAGGGAGGTTCCCTAAAGGAAATAGTGTTGCTATTATAAAGGGAGAAGGAAGAGATTTTGTGTTGCAAAACAATAGATTTCTTCTACAGGTAGTCTTGTAATTATTAATAGTGGAATAAAGTTATTTGGAAGCAGGAGTTGGCTTCCCTCCACTTATGCTTGCAGATGGTGACTTGCAGAGAGTGACAGGGTGTGATTTATATGTATGATTATATATATATTTCCTAATTATATCTTTGAGAGCCACCAAATATATTTACTGAACATCTAATAAGTGACATAGAGAAGAAACCCCGGCATTGTCCCGGCTCCTTCAGTGTAGTCAGGAAAACAGGCATACACATGAAAAGCAGAGGGTGCAAGACAGCAGAAGAAATACTCTAAATTAATATTATGGGCTGTACGCGTTAGCAGTTTTAATGGAGAAAACACTCTCAGAGAGAACGTAAGTCTTGGTTGGGAACTGGAAAGATGAGTTGGATTCTGTAAAAGGGAAGCGAGGCTGCCAGTGAGCCTCTTAAGACAGTTCATTTAAGCTGGAGAAGGTGCTTGAGAAGGCGGAGGGGGGAAATAGGAAGTAGACTGTTTTCTTACAGTTCAGGTTTCAGTTCTAGCTTTGTTTAAGGTCTGGGTCTCCCATGTTCACTAGGATGGTCTGTTTCCCTTTCTCAGCACACACTGAGCACTTGCTGTGTATCTGGTGCAAAGAACAAAGAACATAAAGGTACAAAGAACATAAGGCAGCGTCCCTGCCCTTGTGAAGCAACCTTGCTACCTTGTGCTTAGTGTTGTCAGTCATAATAAAAGTGTGTACGAGGGCAGTGGGGACTTATTTGCCCAGCCAAGGTAGAGTTACAGGGACTATATTTACCCCTCTGCCTGAACATCCAAAAAGCAATATACAGTTTATGAAACAACACTTTTGGAGATACAGGATATGAGGGGTGAAGGACAGTGATCTCTGAGAGATGGGAAACTTCTTAGGTGAGCCCTATGATCGCCCCAGACAACCTCCATGAGAGTGAGCAGGCTGAGTCAAGGGAGGGAAATGGGGTGGTGCTCAGACACTCCCTGAGGTTAGGAAATGGAGCTGAGTGTGTGGGGAGACTGAGGCCACTGGAGTTCCCAGAACAGGGTGCCTGGAGAGGGGAGAGCTGCCCCAGGGAGAATTTAAGATGTGCAGAGTTCTGCTCGGAGCTTGCCTGGAAGGAAATTCCAAGGCCTAGCAAAGATTCCCCCAAAAGGATTAGAAGGAACGGCAGTTGTGCTCATGCAGGGCCAGCAGAGTGCCTGTCCCTCCTGCCCCACGGCTCAGAGCATTCAGTGGTGTCCTCAGAAAGTCCTGCCTCAGCAGGCGGGAAGTTACCCTTAGATTGAACATGTCCATGTTCCCACCTCACCAGTCTTAAAGGCAAGACCACTGCGATCAAACTGTTTCCAGGAAACTTAACTGCATCCCAGGATGCAGTTAAAGAAGCTCAAGAACATTTCTAGGAATACAAAAATGTCCAGCATCCAGGAGGTAATTTTGCAATACTTGATGACCAATCCCAAATTGCCAGGCAGACAAAGAAGCAGGAAAATGTGACCTGTGGTTAGTCAACAGAAAGTGAATCAGAAATGACATATGCTCAAAATAGCAAACATGGCCATTGAAAACATATTGTAAATGTGCATTAAGTTAAAAAGGCACATGGAAGATGGAAAATAGATGCAGGTTCACTTCATAGAGATGAAAACTGCATGTCAGGTGAGGGGGCAGGAGGGGTGGCCCAGAGAAGCGGCATTTTGACTGAGACAAACCTGTGACAGGTGGGGAAGATTCATAGCAAGAGCTGGAAAGGGTTTCGTGGCAGATGGGAAATGAGAGCCAGCATGAGGAGGAAGATGGTGAGAGGCAGACCAAGAAAAGTAGCTTGGGCATGGATGGTAGAGCAGATGGCCAGACAGGATTTGCACTTTGTGCTGAGGATAATGGGGCGGTGCCTGCGGTTGGGAGGAGAGGAACCAGCATCTTAATTTTGGGGGAACTCTGTGCACTGAGAGAGCTTGCCAAGCTCTGGAGACTGGAAGCTTTTAGCAAAGCCCCTGAGAAATATGAGGGTGTGGAATACAGAGGAAAGAACCGATGTAGGAGTTAAAATGGCAATATCATGTGCCAAGCAAGGAAACGTCAAGCGTAGAGACAATGGCTGGTGCACACGGATTGCTTGCTCTGTGCCAGGCAGTGCGCTGAGCATGTTCACGGGTAGTAAGTCACGTAATCTTCCCAGCAAAGCTGTGAAGTGGTTGCTGATATTTGCCTTTTTAAAATGAGGAAGTGGAGGCCCAGTTCACAACTGGAAGGCGGTAGACCTTGCATCTGACCCTCGGAAGCCTGCCCTTAGCCACGGCCCTTACAGTCTCTGCTCAGAGTTGATGATCCTCACAGCTCCCACCCTCTCTCCTGATTAACCCAGATCTTTGATACCGATGCGGAATTAGGAAGCCCTGGGAGGGCTGTTCATGTGCTAAAATTTACTAAGTGCTTCCCTATCATGTTCCCCTGCACTATATTCTGTTGCGTGTTCTTGTGTTTAGTCCTGCCTACCTTTATCCCTAACCTGGACAGGGACAGTCTTGTATTCTATCTCGGGCCTAGCACCTAATATATAATAGTTTTCAGTAAGGTTCTGGAAATGAGAGATTGTTACTTGCATCAGACACCCAAAAGTACTATAGCCTCTCTTTCTCTGCAGTTCCAGAGACCTGTGGTCAACCATGCTCCAAAAATATTACCTACAGATATTTTGGGGGAGAGAGGGCCCACATTTACATTAACTTTTATTTCAGTATATTGTAAATTGTTCTATTTTATTATTCATTACAGTTGTTAATCTCTTGCTGTGCCTAATTTATAAGTGAAACCATCACAGGTATATATGTACAGGGAAAATACAGTATAGACAGGGCTCAGTACCATCTGAGGTTTCAGGCATTCACTGGGAGCCTGGCTGTGTGTCCCCCATAGTATAGGGGAGCTGAGCTAGTGGCCTGTTCTGTCAAGAGAAGGCCTTGAAACAAAATGAAATGACCTTTAGGTTGCAGTGGCCTCTGTCACTTTTCAGTGACATTGCCCTGGGTTGTTTCCATTGAGAATCTACAAGACTCTTCCCATGGGCCTCTGGATGGTCTGGTTTTGTTAATCCTGTAGAATATTTCTATCATAACCCAAAGCCTCTACTAACTTTCTAAACTTTTGTGGGACACTGGGACATCATTTAAGAACCATGAACAGAAGTATTTCATCACGAATATAATAATGACCGATAAATCAATACATTTTGAGGGTCTGAAGAAAATCCTTTGCTCTAATCTCATCTGAATGAAACAAACCCAGATTTCCTCAACCTGGTTTAATACTTGTTTTCAACAATGTGTCCACAGTTGTTATCTAGAGGTTGATGGTATTTCTTTTTAAAACTGGTTTTAGGTTTTAAAAGCATTTTCTTGCTTCTGACTTGTGTGATGATTTGTAAAGCTTTAGACTTTAGTAGTTTGCCTTAGAAATACGATCCCGGAAGGTTATTATAGCTTGCTTCTTTCTGCTTCTCTCCATCCCAGGGTTCATTGGATTTCACCCAGAGTGTTGATGACGACCCGCTTCTCGACACCCAGCATCTCCCACATGTGTTATATGCTCATTTTAGACCCAGATTCCAGCCTCTTCCCACGGTCATCATAGCAAACCTCCTCCTGTTCATACATGTAAGTTGGCTGGGAGAACGCGATCCATACGGAGGTGATCTTAGAAAATATGTAAACTCTTCAGAGGGCAATTTAGGGTTGGCTGTGAATATTTAAAATGTGCATAGTTTTTCATTCATGCCTCTACTTGAAAGAATTTATTGGAGACACATTGGTACATGTGCAAGAGTAGTGCTGCTGACAGCCAGTGTGGTTCGTGATCAAGAGAGCTTGCAAACTGCCACCAGCCAGAGGAACTTCACAGGTGCCGGCTTTAACGAGAAACAGGAGGACGCGTAGTTTGCATAGATTGGCCTTCACTACTACATTGTTGAGTGGAAAAAAGCCAGGTTTACAATAGTGTGTACAGAATGTTTCTGTTTGCACACTTCCCAAGGAAGGTGAAGGGACTGGTTCCTATGTACATGTCTAGTAGAACATTTCCAGAAGGATTCTTAACTTAAAAGACCCTTTTAATACTAGTTGCTATTTGCATGGAGGTCAGGCCCACAGTGGAGGGGATACCTCATATATTTTACTGTTGCTTTTTGTACGATCTGACTTATTTTTAACATCTGGATGTGTTACTTTTTCAGTGACAAAAATGAAAAAGATGCAGATAAATCTAGATGTGCTGACAGAAATCTATCAGTTTATCTACACCTAGGAATGATGTTAAGTTGCTGCAGAACAATACATAGAATGTTGGCCCATGTTTTATATGATGATAAGATTACAAATGTGGGGGGATTTTAAAAAACATCTGTGTGGCAACTCATAGATAAGTCTTGGAGATCTGTTGCACAGTGTGATGACTATAGTTCAAAATAGTGTCCTAGAAATTTTGAAGTTGCTAAGAGACTAAATATCTTATCTCTTTTCCCCACAAAAAAGAAATAATTATGTAGTGTGGTAGAGGTTTTAGATACTGCAGTAATCATATTGCAGTATATACATGTATCAAACCAGTATTGTACACTTTACATTTATAGTTATGTCAGTAATATCTCAATGAAAATAAAATTCAACATCATTAGATAAAAGAATGAAAAACAGATCACATATGTGAATGATCTTGGCTCCTTGGTAGCACCACTCAAGTCTTCATGGTTTCAGTTATTGTGTCTTTGCTACAGTGTGAAAAATCCAGAGGGCAAATTCTGGCCACTCCTTGCTTGCTTTGTGTGAGGACTGTGGATGTGGTTGGTGGATGTGGTTGGTTGACTGGCGTAGCTGCATCTCCAGTGAGATGTGCTGTGCAAGGCTTGCATTTAGAATTGACTATATTGAGGGGAGACCTGCATCTAGATGTTTCCCTTGTATGGATCCCATCAGCGTGGTGTGGCTTTGTCACACTTTCCTGGTCCCCAGATACCAACTAATGCACTGCTTTCCTAGTGCCACACACGCAGAGGTAACCTCCTGTCCCCAGATTGTGGCTGTTTTTCTTTATCTTTTTATATAAAACACAGGTTTCCCCTGATATCTAGAAGTAAACCATTTCTACTTGGTATAATATAGTGTATTGTGTTTTGAGTCTGGGAATACTCACTATTTCTTCATATAAATGAGTAACAGCATTCTCAGACCCCAAAATAACCTACCAGTTCAGAGCAAATAGGAACGTTTTACTTTCAGATTGTGGGGGAAACCTGTGCTCTTTAATTTATAGAAACATACACTACATGTATGTATATCACACACACACATCACTTTTTAAAACCTTTTATATTAAATGATGTGAAGGTGGTCAAATGCATGAACTAAATAAGCACTATAATTTACTTAGGTAACATACAACTTGATTATTATAGTTAACTGCTGCGTGGTATATTTGAAATTTGCTAAGAGTAGATCCTGAAGTTCTCATCACAAGGGAAAAAATTCTTTTTTTTTTTTGCTTTGTTCTGTATCTATATGCAGTGGAGCAGTTAACTAAACTTATTGTGGTGATCATTTTGCAATATATGTAAGTCAAGTCATGCTGTACTAAACACATGCCAATTATCTGTCAATAAAACTAAAATAAATTACATGCATATGACATATGGGATTGATTGCCCTTAATTTTCAGGCTAAGACCGTCTTAACTGTTAAAAAGCAAGAAAACTATTTTTATATACTATTTTGTATATAAAAGGGATTGGCTGGGTTCCGTGAGCATTGTAATTTACTCTAGGGTTGTGTTGACATTTCAATTTTTGCTTGGTGGTGATATGCATCTTGAGTTGCCACAGCAAATAGTACTGCTCTTGACATTACTTTGAAAAATCACATATATTTTAAATAGATTTATTATATGTTAAGATTTGTGCTGTTGGAGGTGCTAATGATAGCTTTCAAGTTTTTTCCTTTATTGCATTTTTAAAATTACAGAATACTTCTTTATTGTAACCAGTAAAACATTAGCGAAGTATACCAGGGTGAAATCATAGTATTTTCCCCGCTTCAGCTGGTTTCACCATATAGGGTCAGGCTAGTGTCCCTCATTTAGTGCCTTTTGTTAATTCATACAACTACGTACAAAAAGATTGGTCCCTGTACAAGAGGATTTCCCCCATTTCTTTCCAAAAAGAAAAAAAAGCATTTTATTTTATTTACTACCCTATAGTGTTTCTCAAACTCCCCTACCTATCTGACTCCCCACACAGATTGCTGGACTGCACCTCCCCGCCCCCATCTGGGTCTGGGGTGGAGCCTGAGAGTTGACATTTCTAACAAGTTCGCAGGTGATTTTGATGCTGCTGCTTTGGGTACCATCCTTGAACTACTTACTCTACAACATCTCTTCATCTTAACATAACCCATTGAAGGATAGCTCTCCCCCATGATGTGCCACTTTGGCAGGTGGATTATTTTGGGCTGAGGTCAGCCAAGGTCCTACAGCCTCAAAAGAAAGGTTTACCACCCCCTTTACTACCTAAAAGAATGAAAATCTAGGGTACTACCCAGATGTAGGGGTTTTATCATAACTAACCTTTCAACTGGAGAAACCTATTTTATGGCAGGACAAATGTCTAATTACAGAGCATCTGGTCTTTATCATGAGTCACTCTCTCCTGTCCTGTGAGAATCCCTCTCCACTCCTTCAAGCTCCAGGCCCTTATCCCTTTCTTCTGCTCAGGGTCTATACCTCATTTTCCCTCTCTGACCTTGGAATCTTTCTTTCTTTCTTTTTTAAAGATTTATTTATTTATTTATTTATTTATATAAGCACTGGGGACAGTCAGAAGCGCGGGAGGGTGAGAGTATTCACCAGAGCCAGAGTGGAGAGCAGAACAGGCAGACTGACAAAGTACACTGCTGAGGGGAGCAGCGGGCAGCAGGAGAGGTCTGCGTGCCATGTGGGACCCTCGCCTGGTGACCAGGGATCGAACTGGTGCTGCAGAGGCTGCGGGCAGCTTCGCAACCCAGCACTCAACCGCTGCGCCACCAGGGAAGCCCAGAATCTTTCTTTCTATATAGAGTCCCTGTATATACATAATTTAACTTAGTTTTTTCTCCCACCAATCTAATGTTAATTTGATTATTGGACCAGCCAATCAAGAACCCGTGGGGTAGGGGTGTATTTCTTTTTCTCCCTGATACTGTCTGAACAAAATACACAGGGACTCTTTTTTAACTGAATATCTCATTGTGTGTGTGTAGTTGCCCCTTAATTTATTCAAGCATTCTGCTATGGTTGGGCACATAAACATATGGAGTTTTCTGCTTTTTTTCCAAATATTGAAACAATTGTAGCAAATGTTTACTTCCATATATTCTTAGTTTTGGTGCTTTTACTATTGAGGGATAGTATCCTTAAGGTAGGATTTCAGGCTCAAGATATTTCCAAATTATTTTTCAACAGCAATTCCCAGGCAGGTCAGTAGTACATGAGAATGTATGTTTGCCTCTGTTTTGGCACTAATCTCTTAAATTTTTGTCAAAATAATTGGTTATTCTGGTTCTTTAGTACTGAAACTGGAAATAAATATTTTTAAGCCATGATTTTATTAGTTACCTTTGAGCTGCTAAATTAACTGTTTTTACTCTTCTAATAAGCAAAATGGGCAGAAAACTGCCTTTAAGTATTTCTTTTAGATGGGATTGAAGTGATTTTTATTTTCTAATTTATAACTTTACAAATATTCTACAAGTTTTTCTATAAATTTTCTTTATAAAAGATTTGTAAAACTTGCAATTAAGAAAAAAATCACTTGGGCCTCCCTGGTGGCGCAAGGGATTAAGAGGCAATCTAAGAAGCTATCTGCAGCCACTGAAGCACGCGTTTGATCCCTGGAGAGGGAGCTACCCACATGGTGCAGCAGACCTCTCCTGACTTGCCCGCTGCTTCCCTCAGCAGTATATTTCAGTCAATTGCCTGTTCTGCTCCCCACTGTCTCTGGTGAATTCTCTCACCCCCCCACATGTCTGGCCTGTACTCCAGTTCTTGTATGCATAAATAAATCTTTAAAAAAAAAAAAAAAAGAAAAAAATCACTTATAAAAACAGGATTACAAATTCATAGATAGCTCTAAGTATGTGCTAGATAGTGATTGTTTCTTAAATCCAAATGTTGAATAATAATCCTACTGCTTTTCTTTCCTCCAGGTTGTGTTTGTTATTTTAGCGTTTTTAACAGGCGTGCTTTGTTCTTACCCCAATCCAAATGAGGACAAGTGCCCAGGAAACTATACCAACCCATTGAAAGTTCAGACAGTCATAATCCTTGGGAAAGTTATCTTGTGGATTCTGCATTTCCTTCTGGAACGATACATTCAGCATCACCACAGCAAAGTAAGAAAAAGAGGCTATAACATGATCTACCAGTCGACAAAGCATCTTAAAAGACTTGCACTCACGATCCACTCCACTGGTAAGCAGAGTTGTCTCTCTCAGCTTGTCTCTGGCTTACTAGAGTGGTAAAAATGACCCCAGAAAGGGAATGTAAAGTTTGATATTATTTTTTAAAATTTAAAACATTTTTTTCCTTTTTATCCCCAGCTGCACTTAGCACACAGTGCTAGGCAGCCTATCCTACTGGCTCAGAACTGGACTCCAGAGTTGGAAATCTGGGTATGAAGTGGTGAACCCCAACTCTTGTATTTGTTTATTTTGTACTCAATTTATATGGTGACAGACTGCCAGTTTCTGAAAGGTCTTGCTATGATGGTCTGTTGTCCCTCCTACTCTCTCCCCTTTAAGAGACAAGTGATGTCTCCTGATGTACTAATCATTCCCTTGATTTTGATTTTATAATCAAATATATTATCTCCTTTTTGTGAGAGTGTTATGGCCACTAAAATTCATTCACCTCATTGTCTTGAAGCTCCGCTTATAATATATACTGCAATAGTTGTCCTTTGAAATCTATGTTTGTTGAACAGGAGGAAAAATAATTTTCTCTTTACCCTTATAGGTTCTTGACTGAGACCCCACAGTAATCAAAGACATATTAACAGGAGAAAAACAAACAGAATTTAAATAACATGCCAACCTCCTATGTACATGGGTGAGGCCCAGGAAAACTGAGTGATTTTCCCAAACAGCTCCAGCCACCACTTTAGCTTCCAGCTAAAAAGTAAAGAAAATTTTGGAGGCGGGGAGGGTGTGGTGAGGGAGACAGCAATTAAAGAAGGTTATGAGTCAAAGCACTTGAAAGGAGAGGATGGTTGGTATGCAGAATTTAGTGCTGCCTTCTCCATTGAAAGGCTTTCTAGAGATTTGGTCTTCCTGGTATAGAGAGTGGTAAGATTTCCCTATAAATGTAAATAATCCCTTAGAAAAGGGTAATTTTTACTTGGTTTCCAGAGCTTTTACTGTGTCTGCGTTTCTTAAAATAATCAGTTAAAAATAATCCTTATGCCCAAAACATATGTTTTGGGGTAGCATTTTCTGTACCCCTTCATTTTGAAGATGGTGTCCATGTATTCCTGTGAGAAATATAAACTCTTTCCCCTCCCCCTCACTCAAGGAGATATAAATGCTATTGTTATTTGATGTTTGTAAGGTAAGAAAAGGGGATTTTTTTTTTTTTTAAGATTTATTTATTTATTTATACAAGCACTGGGTACAGTCAGAAGCACGGGAGGGTGAGAGAATTCACCAGAGCCAGAGCGGGGAGCAGAGCAGGCAGAAGGATCGAAGTACACTGCTGAGGGGAGCAGCGGGCGGCAGGAGAGGTCTGCGCGCCATGCGGGACCCTCCTCCGGTGGGCGGGAGCAGCCGGGGATCGAACCGGCGCTGCAGAGGCTGCGGGCAGCTTCGCAACCCAGCGCTCAACCTCTGCGCCACCGGGGAGGCCCAGGGGATTGTTTTATTTTATTTTTTTTTTTTTCTTCTTTTTTTTTTTTTTTTTTTTTAAACAGAGGCATGTTTTTATTTATTTATTTGTTTGTTTGTTTGTTTTGTTTACACATGCACTGGGTACAGTCAGAAGCGCAGGAGGGTGAGAGAATTCACCAGAGCCAGAGCAGGGAGCAGAGCAGGCAGAAGGACCGAAACACACTGCTGGGGGGAGCAGCGGGCGGCAGGAGAGGTCTGCGCGCCATGTGGGACCCTCCTCCAGTGGCCGGGGAGCAGCCGGGGATCGAACCGGCGCCGCAGAGGCTGCGGGCCGCTTCGCAACCCAGCGCTCAACCGCTGCGCCACTGGGGAGGCCCCGGGGATTGTTTTATTTTAAATGAAGCTCAGTGCTTTACTTGTAATAAGAGAGAGCACCTGTTATGTAATAAAATGCATTATCCAAAGTGGAAAACTTGAAAAACAAATTATGGAGGTGAACTCAGAAAGTCCATGCAGGCATTAGAATGCAGTCCTGCCTATTTTTCTCTACCTTTACATTTTAGAGGCTTAATGGAATTAAATTGAACTTTAGGTGTTTTTGCTTGAGAGTTATGAAATCCTACCTGAGAGTGCAAAAGAAATCCTGTACTTTTCTGGGGTTTTTTTCCTAAGCAAATAATCTAACAAGCTTCAAATATACTAATGAGAAAAAAACAATTAGAAGGTTAATAGTAACATGTATACCTCCTGTGTGCATGTATATCTATATACAGGAGAGGCCCCAGCATGACACATAACTTGCCCAAGGGCAGTCATCTTAACTACCTTAGCTGAGATCAGGGACTTTGGAGGAGGAAGAGAAAAGGCAGGTCAGTTAGGAAATTTGTCATTAGACAAGGAACGCAGATTTAAGTGCTGTCTTCTGGAAAGAAGCAATAAAGAGATTCCTCTTCCAGGGAGAGGTCTCACAGAGAAGGCTGCCTGTGACCATCAAAATCAGCCTCCACCAGCCTTCCGGTCCTCTGCAATGAAATGAACCTCTAGCCAAAAACACATTTTGGAGTGGAAGATTTTTGCTCCGCTACAGTCAAAGTTTCTGCTGTCTTTTAAAAGACCCTATTTTTCTATTTGAGTCCAGAATAAATCTTTAAACATTTTGAAACCGGATCAGAAATTAGTTTTTTCTCCAAAAAGACAGCTCTACAGAATTTAATTTTTATTTCTCTTTTATGATCTGTTAGTCCATTTTCTTAAAGGGCAAGCTCTAAGTTCATACACTCAGTGACGAGCTCAGTGAAGCAGAACTGCCATGCTAAGAATTTTATACAGATGGCTGATCTTGACTCATCTTGAAGGGGGGTGGGGGATTTTTTTGGCCTCTCTGACCCAGGAGCCTGGTTTCTTAGTTCAGCGGTTGGTGGACTTTTTTTTGGCCAGCAGGTGTCACTATAACCCTTTTCTCCCAACAAAGATAACAGCAGAAACCTTTTTTTAATTCCTGAAAGACTTTATGGACTTCATGACCACAGTAACATTCAGTTTCTCAAGTCTAGAAGAATCAGTAGTATTTTTGAGGCCCACCAAGACATTGTGTGACCTTTACTTCCTCTCTGACTTTCAAATTCTTGAACTGGATTCTTAGTTTAATCATGGATGGTATCACTTAGGGACCCAGAAAATCAAAGCAAGGGGGCAGTAAATACCTTCTTTTCTATTTTCATTTTTTTGGTCTTATTTGAAGAAAAAGAAGGTAGCTTTATGATGATAGAGAACATTCTGTTTCTTTTTATGGCATGTAATAGTATTGCTTGACATTGATTAGCTTTATCCTGATATTTTTTGTTATTCTTGTTTTAATTTTTAAGAAAGTCCAGATTCCTATATATTTATATTAGGGGGAGGCATCATTAAATCTTAGGTGTGTGAGTGTGTGTGTGTGTGTTTAATTTCCTCAAAAGATAAGCTTATTTTGGTTTTTATTCTTTAACTTCATCACTGCTGAAACAGATGGTTCTGGGTGTGAGTGCCCTGTGGGGCCTGCAGGGGACTCTGGCTCACCCTGTGTTCCTATTTCCCTCTCAGGCAACACGGCCCTTCTCTTCATATTGTGCATGCAGCATTCCTTTCCTGAGGCCAGCAGGTTATACCTTGACTTCATTCTGGCCATCCTGACTCTGGAACTGATATGTTCCCTGACATGTCTGCTCATATATACAGGTGAGAACTATAACTGCGCTCTTCCTCTCAAGATCTGGAAAGTTCCTCCATTAGTTTTGTGATAAGGAATTCTTCACGCAGTTGAGAACCTCTCGGGCACCTAAGTCTCATTGCTGAGCACATCCAGACTGACTCATTTAAGTCAATGGGAAAATACCAGTGAGTCACAAATTTCCAATTTGGGTCATGAACAGTTTTTTAATCCACTGGAATGTAACCTAATCAAAAAGACACACAAACTTTTGCTTCTCCAGAGGCAACTGGCATTTAAAATTAAAATACAAGATAAGGAAATAAATTATGCACACACAATTGCATTTAACTCAGGCTTGCTTTGGGATAAACCATTTAAGAACCTACTTCTTTCTAAATCTGGAGCTGTCTGGGGTTGGTCTCTCTCTCTCTCTTTCTCTCTCTGTCTTACCTTCCTCCCTTTCCCCAGTGCTCCACATAGTAAAATTCTGTCTTCATCCTGCCAATGTGTCGATTTGACACAGTTTATCACTCCCTCCATGAAATACATCCTGCCCTTGCTCAGGGACTCTGCCTCACTGATGTCCTGCCTGCCTCACAGGTGGCCCAGCTTCTCCAGTCAGTCTGCGTTGCTGACTTTTCTCCCTGGTAGAGGCCCAGGCTCCAGCTCAGTTGTGATCTTGCCACTTAAGCCTTAAGCTGCCGCTCATTTCTGTCTTCCCTGCCTCCTGTAGGTCAAGGATGTCTCGTTCCATTTCCTCCCTTGTATTGCCTTCTTCATCCTGGTCCTTCCTGATGAACCCACTGCAGATCACTCGCCTCTTCTTTCCCTTTCACCTCGTCGCTTAAGCATCAGCCTGTTCTGCGCTGATAGTGGCCCAGAACTGAAGGAGGCAGGCCAGGTCAGGCAGTTCCCTCTGCCCCCTGTGCACAGGCACACAAGAAGCGATAGTGGCTTCTGTTGTCAATAGCAACAGGCCTCTGTGTTGCCAGTTACAATCTGGCACAGGAGTCTTTCAAATGTTGGGGTGCACCAAGAAGCACACCTATTTTTTTCACTTTATGAAGCATTTTTTACATATTAACTCATGTGCACAGTATAGCCAATTTTTTTTTTAAATCTTATTTATTCATTTATTTATACAAGCACTGGGTACCGTCAGAAGCGCAGGAGGGTGAGAGAATTCACCAGAGCCAGAGAAGGGAGCAGAGCAGGCAGAGCAGCCGGTGGCAGGAGAGGTCTGCGCGCCATGCAGGACCCTCCTCTGGTGGCTGGGGAGAAGCCGGGGATCGAACCGGCGCTGCAGAGGCTGCGGGCAGCCTCGCAAGCCAGCGCTCAACCACTGCGCCACTGGGGAGGCCCCACAGTATAGCCAATTAATGTAATTAAGTAGAAAGTTTTCATCATTAGTTAACCTGACAATATCAACTTTATTATTTTAGTGAAAATTCGAAAATTTAATAAAGCCAGACCACAGCCTGATATACTTGAAGAAGAAAAAACCTATGCTTACTCCAGCAGTACTACCTCGGAGACTGGATTCAGGTAAGCTTTGGTGGAGGGGTAAAAAATTAGAGAAAGTGGTTATTGAAAGTCAGCGTCTAGAAAACTTGAGTCCATTCAGAATAACCCTGTCCTCCATCAAGATAACCTGAAACCATCATACAAATTTTGAGCAGCCTAGCTCAGAGACAAAGGACAGGGAATCTCTACTGCTTGATATATAGTAAATATTAAGTGTTTGTTACTTTTATATGAACATCTGAAGACAAGAGCTTAAGGTGACTTACTAGGTCACCTTAGTGACCTAAGTCACTGAGTGGCAAAGTCAGAACTGGCATTCAGACAGTTTCCTTGGCCCATGCCTGTGACCATGTTATTTGACCATGTTATTTGTAAATATGTTTTATTCACATGAGGCCATTCTTTGCATAGGTCTTCACTTTGGATAGTAAACTTACTGTCTCTTGAAATGTTTCTGTTTCAGCACATACAGAATATCTAAGTATCAGTAAAACACATGAATATTTTATTTCTTGAATACCAATTTTTAGTCACCATTCAAAATCAGCTCATAGATTGTTGTCATAATTATCTCCATTATTTGCCACGGACTAACGCAGCGGTAGACTTGCAGGACTGTCTCAGGATTTGAGAAACTGTGAGGATGCTCAAGGAATCGGCGCATAAATGACAAACAGACACACTTCAAGAGTGAAGATCTGAATGTAATTTGCTCAAAATCATCATACACTTTTATACCTATTTTAACAATGGATGATTTCATACAATTTAATTCTTTCTCAGCATAAAATACTTTGTAAGGCATAAGACATCTACTTCATTATTCATGTGCATGTGATCGCTGTTCCATGACATGGCACAGTAAACAATCTCCAGGTACTGAATCTACACAATCATTTTTGCCTACACCGAACAGCATTCTTTAAGCTAGCTTTTCTTGATTCGTATCCCAAAACCACAATGATCAGAAAGCATTAATATTTACCTACTGGCACCTCCTACTTTTAGTAATCACGAGCAATATATTCTCTACATAAGCATTTTGATTTTTATGGTGTTGTCTCATGTGAGAAGTATTATGATTATTATAAAACTACCATTGCCACACACTATTTTCTTTATCATGCATTTCCTGAAACTGATTGTACACATATAAGGAAAAAGCAAAGTAAGTGAAAAAGTAGTATGATTATAGACAGGTTGCTAGGTTGCTACTTATTCTGAAACAATGGCTATTTGATTAATGGTAAAACTGCTTTGTAGGTAGTTCCATCAGGCTTGTTTGCAGGTGACGTTCTTAGCAGCCTTGTTTCCATCAAAGGAGGGGTTAATTACTGCGGGCTTGTTGCCTAAATTAGGCTTATAGGCATGTAGACCTTGTTTGATCTGAACACCAAAGTTTATCATGATGAAGCCCCTCGGGGACTGCGCCTGTCTTAGGTCGTCAGGAGTCACAGACATGCGGCTGGCCAGTGCCTTCTTTAGTCTGCCCCCGATCTTACCCGTCATTGACTGTCCAGTCCAGCGCACAGGGGAAGGGGGTCTTACTCACTCTGATGTGTCTGAGTGAAAGCCTCCCTCTTTCCAGTAAGTTCACTGGCGTACAGCGGCAGAGGCTGCCGCAATTATTCCCAGTGTTTATCTTAAATTAGTGCAAGGAAATTCCAAACACTTGATAGCTATTATTTCTGAGCAGTAAGACCTAGGAGATTGGTGTAGGAAGGGGGTATATTTGTTTTTATTGTATATTCTTCTTTACTATTTTAATTTAGGTCTTATGCAAAAAAGGAGGGGAAAATAGCCATACAGGTTTCCTCTGCTATCTGAAAGCACTTTCTAATTGGTGGGCAGCTTTTTGGCCCTGGGGCATTATCACCCATATGATATGTGGGGGGGTGGGGGTTTGGAATGTGTGAGCATTTCAAAATATGAACATTCTTCTTTCAGATAGCGAGGGAAACCTGTACAGGTTTTTTTCAGAATGCTTCTCATGGTCAGAGTCGCCTATTTTCATGTTAGATCATCACTTGCTTAATGAAGTGATTTTTGTCTTCTCTCTTTAAATGCATTTAAACCAACCACTCAGACTGTATGCTTGTACAGTACTCTAAAACTAGGTAGGATGCTTCTTAAAGCAGTATGACCCTTTTTTAAGTCTCAGAGTTGTGAAAGTTTTTAAAATTTCAAATTGAAATTCACAAAATAGATTTCTTTCAAGAGTGGAGTCACTAAGATGATTCATGAAAGAATCTCATTTTGGAATATTGCCTTAGTGCATAAGATCTAATAAAAGTAACACTGTGTGCTGTGCGGAGGACCGGTAGGGGCTTGTTTGCAGACTCAGGAGTGCTGGGGGGCATGTGCAACCCATGAATACCTGGATCCCTTGCAGGACTGGTTCAAGTCTGGAAGAAATTGTTGAGAAGCAGGGGGACATCATCTTGTACCTGAAGCGACACAATGCACTGCTGAGTAAGCGGCTGCTGGCTCTCACATCCGCTGACCTAGGCCCCCAGCCAAGCAGAACGTGAGAGCATCAAGATCAAGACAGAAACTGCAGAGGAATCCGGAGTACTCAAGCCTGACTGATAGGAAGCCAAGATGCCACTGGAAATTGCAGCTTTTGCTGAGTACGTTTTATAATTTCCCTTGGAAGCCTCATTGTGTTCTCCCAGCGTGGCTGAGTAACCTGTGTGACTTGTGGCTCATTTGAAAGGTACTTTGTAGAAGCCTTGACAACCTGAGGAATAATGACTTTTTTGCACATTACATTATTTAAATGCCTACTTAATCCTAGGATTAAAGGCGTAGTTTAAACATCTCTTTGGTCAACACTTCTTCCATATGACTTTAGACCCCTAGAGAAAGTCTGCCATGACTGTCTATTTTAGTTTTGTTTGTCCCACATTTCAGTGGATGAAAAAGTTATTTTTGTGGCTAAGTTTTTACCCAAAGAGCCCTATCATGTATTTTGCATACATGTGTGATATTGTATAAAGCTCGGTCCACGTCGCTCTTGTAGAGTTTCCTCACGGAAGGAACGCACTCTCACTATGTGATTTACAGTGCAGACGCCCACAGTTCACACTCCAGAAATAAGAAAAATGAGATGGTGACTTAGACCGTGTTAGACTAACCAGTGCTTTGGCACCGGCAGTGGCTTCCATGGGCAACAGAAGAACTATCTAGAGATGTCTTTAGACTCTCTGTGTCCTTCAAGAAGTTGCCATGTGTTTCAGTATTGATTATATGTTTATTGGCCCAAAGCCTTCAGAGATAGGAAAGGCAACTTTCGTGATTTTAAGTTTAAAATTATTTGGAGAATAAGATGTGATAGCAACATGTGTGCCAATAATTTAAATTACTAATTCGCCAGGTAAGATGAAGCATTTTTGTAAGTAGATGGCATTATTTCTCCAGGTTCTCTGTGTGTCCCTTTATTGGATTGCTCTTGGCACCTTTACATGCTGCCAACAGCATCTTGGTGGAACTTATACCATGAGGGGATATTGGTGATCATGTGTGCTGCTGATATGGGGGGGTTATTTGCTACAGGATCGGTATTTCACTTGAAATCTCTTGAGCCCTGCCCTGCTATTTAGGAGAAGTATTTGGCCACATCCTGTGATTTACAGAGGACAGACAGCTGTCCCTTTAGATCCTGCCATGTAAGACCTTTCTGTGAACATGGAGGTGATGGAGTCACCTGCAGGCACTGAATCCCCAAAGTGACAACATTCACAAATGGAAGCCAGAATTGTATTTTCAAAATTCAAGTTTCCCGATTTCTCCTCCCATCCTTTTACATAAGTGATTTCAGATCCATTACTTTCTCTGGGAATTTATCTCTTTGTTCTGGAAGATTCTATAAACATTGCGTTACACTGTTTTCCTTTTTAGAAGGAAAACATGGATAATAGATGATCGAGTCTTATTTTTTTAATTCAATCTGGAGCTATAGTTTCTAAGGTTTATGGGGTGAACTTCAGTTTATAGAGCAAGTTAGAGGTAAAAAGAATACTCAGGTTTTGATGTGATGTCTGTATCATCACTGACACTTTTCTATGAACATGTCAAACCCAATGAACATGTCAAACAATAAAAGAAAATGAAACTAAATATCAAAACAAAACAGAACTATTTTATATTTTTTGATGAGAAAAAGCCATAGAAAAGTTTAATAATATGTATACATGGGAAAGCGGCAGCATGATGGAGAAACTTGCCTCCCTGGCTCTCGATACCATCTTAAATAGCTAAGTTAGGAGAACAAAAACAGTTTAAATGTTAAGCATTCTTTAAATGTTAAGCCAGGCAGATACTTCACTAGCATAGCACCATGTATATAAAAATTAATAAAAATAATTTAATAAAAATGAATAAAAAATTATACAAAAATTCTAAAGAGGGGGGGACTAGGATTTCTAGGCTCTGTGCTAAAGGAAATAACGCCAGTTAGTGTTTACCGGTGGTACTGTAGGAGCTGCTGATCACAGGGCACCTAGCGGGCCGGGGGTTTAGGAATTCCAGGCAAATGAATGAGCAAAGGGGTAAGGCAAACAGCTACAAAAGAACAAAGGATCACAATCAGAGCAGAGACTGCACCAGAGCAAGCAGGACAAAGAAGGGGAGATGGCAAAGGACCTTAGAGGACCTTACAGCTCTGCTAAAGACCCTACCCTGGAATGGGAGCCCCCCCAGGGGGTTTTCATGTAAAGGTCAGTTTTAGTTTATGAGGATCCCATTGTGGTGCAATGTGGAGGGAAGACGGGCAGAGAGAGCAGCTCTGTACTGGGGCAGCTGTAGTAATATTTTATTAAAAGTGTATTTGTCTATATGTGTATCTATATTTCTATATTGTTAAGTGTGTGATTTTATTTCAAATAACATTATCATGACTCATTAAAAGCCCTTTGTTTTTGAGTGGCGCTATTGAAAAATATAAAGAAAAATTATTTGAGGTCCGATACCACTTGCTGTTCTCGGTTGCAGGTGTTAAGTCTATTTAGTCCTAGCCCATCTGATGGATACAAAACTATTGTTTCAAGTTGCATTTCTTTGACTACTGGTGATGTTGAATTTTTTCCCATATTCTTTGGTCTTTGATAAATCTTCTCTGACTATATATCAAGTTGTTTACTTAGAATTCTCCTGGAATGTTCTTTTTCTTAATTTTTTTATATAAGGGGAACCCTGAGTTTACATTTGTTGGAAATATTTCTTTAGGTGGTTCTGGGTTCTTCTGCCAGATCCTCTTCAAATACTAGAGCCTGGATTCTGTCTCCTAAAGAGTTCATAGCAATGAATTCCTAAAGCCACATGAGGAGTCTTGTGTGAGAGCCAGCAGGGACGCGGGTAAATGTTAATACAGGGTTCCTGCACTGGTCAGAAGTAGAACATTGCTAATATAGTAACTTATTTTGGGGGGGTCTGGGAATGTTCAAGATTATTTCCACATATCCAGGAGCTTCATTCACAATCTGTTTCTGAGACTAAGATCTGGAATCAGGACCTACGGGGGACAGGTCTTGTGAAAGTATAGGTTGAGATTTCTTGAAAATGTTCTGAGAGCTCACCCGGTGGTCCCAGCATCTCCCACCCCCACCGCTGCGGACAGGCCCACAGTCATTCTGGGAAGTGGGTCTTTGCAGGTCCCGGTGGTCCATGCAGGTCTCCTGCCCAGAAATACCTGCCTGAACGAAGATACAGAAAAGCCAAGACAGCTGGGTCGGCTGGGAAATCTTTTAGAATAATCAAGAACGTTGTTTTCTCTTTGCAAAACTCAGTTTTTGTCCTCAGAGACAATCAGGTTAGGGTGGGCTTTTCCAAATCTAGCATTACATCTACTTTAAATCTCGATAATTTTCTGCAAAGCACAGTGCTGGGGAGGAAAACTGTGACCTGTTCTTAACTGAGCTGCCACGACACGGGGATTGGGGGGGATTGTCATCTCTAGATTCGTCAGCGTAATTCATGATAGCAGTTCCACCTCAGACCACACATACTGTCCCCCACCTCACTCAGGAGACCCAGGAGGGAGGAAAGGTGGTCAGAAAAGGCACCAATGTTTCCATGGTTTCTCTTGTGTGTCCTTTTCACCATCCGGCCAGGAGTGAGCTGCCTCTTGCCCACGGTCTATAAACTGGTTCAGATTCAGAGGCTAATCTCCATCTCTGGTTTTCCATCTTCTCTCTCAGTTCTAAGTTTCTTGGGCTTTGAATGCTGGTTGATTTCCTGAGCATCTGCCAGTTGCTTTAGGGCCTCCAGGTAACTTCTGAGCCTTTGCTTGTGCTCAGAGGCAGCCTCCTCCACAGGCCTCACCCGGTGGTCCTGGTGGTCTGGGGACTGCATGCACAGAGGGCACAGAATCTGCAGGTCATCCTCACAGAAGAGGCTCAGAGCCTGCAGATGCTGCTCACACAGGTGTCTCTCCTCTTGCCTCTTCCTCTTGCTCATGCTTCGGTGGAGGAGCTTGGCAATGCCAATGATCCTTCCTAGCTGGGGATTGCTCCTCCAGCGCCCGCCCTGGCTTGGGTGGCAGCAGGTAGGGCAAGGGAAAGTGTCTCGTAGCTCCCTCCACGAGTGGCAGATGCAGCTGTGACAGAAGTTGTGTCCACAGTCGATAGTGACGGGGTCATTCAAGATATCCAGACAGAGGGGGCAGTCGGCCGCTGCCATGAATTGGGCCAGGGCTGCTTCCATTGCTAATGGGCTGTGAAGGAAGGCCTAGACTGAGGTGGGTTTTCTTTGGGGGCTTGGGTTTTATAGTGAGTAGATACACCCTAAAATCTCAAGCCTCACTTTATTGGCAGTCTGTCAAATTCTGCGTGTCTTCAGATCCTTTAACTCCAGCTCCCCAGGTCTTGCAGCAGTCACAGCCCAGCTGGACAACAGCCCTCCAGCTCTGGTAGCTCAGAGACAATGAAGCCAAGCTAAGCAACTTCCATGTCAGCAGAAAAGTCACTGCCTCAAAAACTGGGTGCTGTGGGTAAGAGATGTTTCTTTAAAATAATCTCTGGATTTATTTCAGGTGCCCTACCCACCATCACCTTCTAGTTACATGTAAGTTGCGCTATCCCCAGTCTTGCATTCCTGTTCCTTCATTGCTGTGCCCTGTTTGTTCCCACAATCCAGGCAGGTGATCTTACCATTGATCCTGTTTGGGACCGTGGGAAGGCATGAGCTCTGGGACAGAGATCCACCACTCCCAAATTGGCCTTGGTCACCCCTCATGGAACCTGGGGAATTTTACTTTGGCACATATGCTCTGAAACATGCCAATCTGGCACACAGGTGATCTTGAGTCACTCTCGACTGCCTAAAAAAAAGTATCCTTTCCCCTATTTGTAAGGGAATGTTGTAGTTATAAAGGAAATTTACATTGGAAAGAGGGCCTGTGCCAGGGAGAAAGCTAAAATCAGAGGCGACTTTCTCAATTAGACATGGCCTAATAGGCCACCTTTGATTACCAAACACTTTTATTTTACCCAGAATTGCCTCCCTGATCAGCCTCAGAAGCCCCAGACCCCATCTGCTTCCTTAGCTCAGGCTGGTATGTAAATCTCAATTGTCTGGCTGCTCTTCGCGTGTCAGATCTTTGTGAAACTCCTGTGTGTAGATATAAGATTTTTCCCCCGTTACTCTACTGTGTGTTAATTCTTAGATCAGCCACAGGAGCTAGAAGCACAGGATAAATTTTTCCTCCCCTGTAATCCCAAGCTCTTGGAATCAGGTAAATGAAGATAATATCACTATAAACATTTTGAGAATCTAGAAGGTTTTCCCTTAACCCTTCTAGGTTCTTGGCAGAGACTCCCTGCAATAAGACACTCCCTGCCCCCTCTCTCCTTCCTTGTGCAGAGGTGCCTGGCTGGACCCAGAGTGGTGAGAGAGGTTCTGACCTGGTGAGTTTTCAGACCCTTTGCCAGGTAACCTATTTATGAAATAAAATCTAGGAAATAACATTTAATACATACAAATTGAAACAAAACTAAAACCAGAAAAAAAAAATACTTCCAGTGTTTACTGGTAAGATAGCATTGCCTCTAAACAAAGAGTACCTACAAGATAAAGTAAAACAAAATAAAAAAACTAAATTCCCTGTGTGAAAAATCAACATCAAAGCTACCATTAAGCAACCATTCAGGACCAGGGCTGGGTAAGTGGAAATGATCCGGTTTTTTCCACCCTCTGGCCATTACGTCTGTGAGCAACACCTGTGGCCTTACACGCGTGCCTGATGGTGGCACCTGGAGTGTGGTGTGGGTGTGCAGAAGTGGGCATGACTGAGCATATAAGGGCGGCGGCAGAGGACTGTAGGGGCAAAGTGCAGTAGAGACCACGGAGAAGCCTGAGAGCACAGAAAGAATGAAGATTCGCCAGGGGGTTAGGAGGCCTCCCTGCCTGCCCTGCACCTGGTTGCCTCACTACAAATGGCGTAGAAAGATCATTAAAAGCCAGGGCTCCAGGACTACTTTACCCGTCTGCTGGGATCCACAGAGAACCTGCCCTGTGCCCTCATGGCACTACAACCAGCCTTGAAAATTCTGAGAAGACAAAACCAATTTAGTCATACACTCAAATCATACAACCAAAGTGTAATTTAGCTTTGTAGGAACAACCTGACCTCCGGAAGCCATCAGCAAAACTTGACCTGGTTCCCAAAATTGGTATAAGGTAACCACTAACCAGATTCCCTCTCGATTGTATAGCAATCGCTATGAAGAATAAACAGCCGCTGCCTCTTTACTGCCTGCTCTGTGACAGCCCCCCAAAGCCCCGTCCATGTTTGGGGTGAAGTGCTCTCAGTTTGCAAACTGTCTTTTTGGTGTGTACACAATAAACCTTTACTACTCACTACTTCTGTCCACTTGCTTTTTTTTCAGAAGCTGTCTTGGCTTTACTTTTGTTATTTCTGTACTGCCAACAAGTAGTTATGGAAAACTGCAGAAACATTCTAAGAATTACAAATTGAAAAAATGTACCCTGTTTTTTGCCCTTTTTTACTATACTTACTGTACTGATTAAGATGAAAAAATTTGATGAAACTGTTTTCAAGGTAGCTTTCCCAACACTGTAGAGAAGTGTAGCAACCTTTAAAGCAATACTGAAATAGCCATCAACATTTCAAAAACCTTTGCTTTGCCCTTGTGATTTCATTAGTTTACAGAACACAAGTGCTTTGCTGGTGGGAGTGCTATGCTAACACCTGAAGGTGGGGATCCCATCAAGAGAATTCTAAAATACAAACAACAGTGTAAGCCAATGTTATTACCTGAAGGGGAGAAAAGAACAGGTCCAAAATGGAGTCCTTTATGGCAAGCCCCACAGAACCAAACAAAGACTTAATTTCAGCTCCCCCAGAAATGGAAGCTTAATCCAGTCAATCAGGAATTGCTTTTTTTTTTTTGTTTGTTTTGCCTAGTATAACTTCCTTGTTCTTGCTGCTTTCTGCCTGTTTGCCCTATATTATATAAATGCGCTTAAAGTCATGGATTCCAAGAACCTATGGATGACATTACAAAAACCTACTGACTACATTAAATGAGGACTTAACTGTATACAGATGTTCTCCTTAGCAGTGGTTTGAACTTCAAGAAGGCAGAAATATTGGAAATATCTATTGTCAGTACTGCCTGTATTACATTCTATTCAACCGCATGTGTTACATTCTAGTCAAGAGAATCTCAAGTAAAGTTTAAAGAAAGATGCATTGATAGAGAAAGAGGAACACAATATATTGTAGACAAAAAAGCAGGTAGCTTCTCATTTCTACTCCCTCATGCTGCAGGCAGCTTTTTTCCCTCCAGACCTCTGGACTGCAATATTCAGGTTTTTTTATTTTGGAAAATGAATATGGTACATAGATCATGTATTATGTTAACATCCCCAGAAGGATCTGGGCAAGTCCTAATATAACAGTAATACTTATGGCACAGAATTCATTTGTATTCATGCCAAAAGGAACAATTAAAGATTATACAAAGCTCCATGTCAGTTGAGGTTTTTCCAAATACATTTTGCAGCAAATCTATCCAAAGCTTGTTTTATAGCTGTTTGAAATTCAGACTTGTGGGCCCTGCAGGATGAGTGTGACCTGGGGCTAATATCCAAGAGTGTCTCTCCCATTCCTGACTCTGCCTCCCCCATTTCTATCTGCTTGCACAGGTACAGATTAGAATGCACCCAGGGTTCCCCACGACCTTCAGGGAGCCCACAGGACCCCTCGTGGTGTCCCCGTTCCTCTGGCACCTCCCTATGATGCTTTAGCCCCACTTAAGTCTTCACCTTACCCAGGGCCCTTTTTAAGGGTTGTTGCAAACATCTTTATTTCAATTGTCCTTAAACGCATGTAACTTCCATTACAAACACGTGTAACTTCCATTCACCGATATATTACAGTTCTCAAAGCAGACTGCAGGTACCATGCTTTTGTTATTAGATGTAACTGACCCCAAGGTGTTTGAATACAACTCACCTGGAGTGAGCAAACCTCTGGTCCTGACATTAGTTTCCTTCCTAAGCTCCTCTGCCTCCTTCAGACCACTTACCACTCCCCAGTCAAACTGAATCTCTTTGCCTTAGAGATTTGCCTTCCCCTTTAATCACCAAAACAATAAGACTATGTCCTCTAATAATTGATCCTTAAACATCCAACTCAGCTAGATACTGGAACGAATAAGGATTGATTAAATGTTTGTTGAATTAGATTCCTAAAGCTCATTTATAAGCTCTGTGGCTTTGGATAAACAACTTCTCTGAACTGAAAGAAGGCCCACTGGTTAGGTTAAGGATGATTAGGCCATAAAGGGCCTGAGAGTCAGGAATACCAGCACATAACTCCACAGCACATAACTCCACAACTCCTTCCCCACACTGAGATTCTAGGTTCCACAATCGCGCAAGACCAACCCCCTTGTCAGACAGGGTGAGGATGTGGGTATCTGTGTTTTTAAGCAAACATTTCAGGTGATTCTGGACTAGTGTCTTGAGGGACCCGGAACCAAAATACACCAGATGTGTTTTGAAATAAGCCAAACCCAAGCTGGGATTACCTGGCAAGGCCCAGCACATGTGGGGCTGGGGAAGCCAAGACTCCAGCCTCCCGCACCCCCATGGCCCACTTCCCCGCTTACCTGGAGCAGGGGCTCTGCAGCAGACCAGCTCCTCAGACCCTCGAGTCTTGTATATGTGGAGCGTGGAACCAGTAAACTGCAGGTTCCTCCTGGAAGTGGGAGGGGCAGGGCGAGAGGAGGTGTTCTCCCCTAATTAGAAACACTTAAGTGAGTTCAGCCTTGATTTAAGAAAATTAGAGTCTTCCTAATCATGGGGGACTGTGTCTAGAATTATTTGCATTTTAAAATTATATTTTTTTTATTGAAGTAACATTGAATGAAAACATTATATGCTTCAGGTGTGCATTATTAAAAATCAACAGGCTAGAGACTACATTAAGTTCACCAGACGTGGGGTTTTTCATGAGCAATCTAAGAGTGAGCTTGAGAGAGTCCAAATGATTTCTACTCAGAGACCACAGCTGGTGTTACCTGTTGAAAGATCTTCCCTACAAAAGTTTAACACTGAGGGTGCCCCTATGAAGCAAACTGGGGTTCAAAGACTACAACGAATTGACAAGGAAATTCTTGAGAAATAATCTTAGTGCTTTCTATCTGCTGTGTGTGTGTGTGTGTGGAGAGATCTTTCCTCTGCTAGATATCAAATTTATTTCTAAAGTGATTTTTAAATTGTGATACTCAAATTGACATTGGATGATGGGTGCATACCTTCATTGTCTTAGTCTGTCTACTTTGTATAAACTTTAAAAATTTTTTCATCATAGGATTTTTGCAAGGGCAGGAATAGACACAGTGCAGGTTTTCTGATCCCATGCAGACCGGGTAAAGGAGGAGTCAGAGTCCTCAGTGGCTTTTTGCAGGTCTTTTATTGGGGTTCACCAGGCATATGGCAGGCAGGGGTGCTGGGGGGCCGGGAGGCTGGCAGGCCTCCCAGCCCCCAGCAAATCCTCACTCTATCTGGGCTCTCTGGTGATCTCGGCTCCTCATTGGCTTCTGCTGCTGCTTTCTCTGCTTCTGGCGTCCCTGTGACGCTGCCCTTAAAAAGCACAGTCTTAGCGCAGGTGTACCCACTCCAGGTGCCCGCCATCAGGCATGCATTCAGGATCACAGGGTTCCCTCATCTATCCTGATGGCGGGAGGGCAGAAAAGCCTGATACCTTTTACCTTACTCTACAATTTTAAAAAGATTTAACTGAGGACAGGAAAGGTTTTGAAACTGAAAACATTTTGTGTCCATGTGAATCAAATATAATGTGCCATGGAATTGTGTAGGAAAGCTATGGTTTTCTTCAGCTAACTTAATACAAAATAAATTACTTGAGTGAAATCTCTTTCTGGTGAATAGTAATAGACTACAGGCAAGAAATAACCCAATTACAGAAAAAATTAAGTATTGATATCATTCACATGGTACAGTAAAAGCAAGTAGAGTACTAATCCATTTATGTGGGACAGTAAAAACAAATGCCAAGGCTTCTAAGTGAAGCAAAACCCAAATTAATATAAATGCACCCCTCTATAGTATATACTGATCAAATGAACACAGTAAGTTGACCAGACTTACACAGTACTTCCTATTTCATAAGCAGGCTTGCATTCTTATAGACAAATGAAATGCATTCAAGTGGGAGTTTAGTGAAGGAAGACAGGATGAGTGGAAACTTTTAAAACCAAGAGTTTCATCTTGAATGACATGATGGCTTGGGTTGAGGAGTCAGGATAGAAAGGATTTGGAATTCTTTCAATTTTAAGTAGGTAAAACCCCAAATAGGCCATCATACACTTCGAAAGTTATAACCTGTGTTTCTTTATGTAGTGCTAACGATGGCTCCAAGTTCTGAACACCTTATCTATTTAAATGTATTTCATGTCAGGATTCCATGCATTAAGACTACTAGTATTCTCATTTTGCTAGTGACGATAACTTGGTTAAAATACGGTTAATGACTTTTCTAAATATTGGTAATGTTTGCACCTGAATACCCCACATCAACAGAAAAACACAGATGAAATGCTCTTCCAAAAGGAGACATGTTCTTGGACCCTCTCAATGTCAGCACTCAGTGGTCACCCAGGAGTCTCTACTCCCACCAGGACCCCACCATCTGAGACTTGAGAGTCTCAGCTCAAGCCCAGACCACACGCACCCCAAGGGGACAGGCCCACAGCTTTTACTTCTTGCATCATCCCTCTGTCAGTCCCATTGCCTGTGATCTAGGCCTGGAAATCTCAATCTAAAATCAGTACCTGGTTCTCAGTCTTGCCAATAATTCATTTAAATTATGAGGATGGAATCATACTTCCTTGATTCTCAGAAACCCATTACATTTGCCAAGGTCACATTTATTGTCACATTTGTCCATCACAGCTATTCTCAGAATTTGGAGTGATCAAAGCACACTCACTTCCCATTCTCACATTTCAAGTGAGTTCTCCATATTTACTTCTAAGAGGTCTTGTCTTCACCTCTAAGAAGGGATGCCATCATCCTGTTTTCTGTTTTCACGTCTCTCTCCATGCTAAGCACCTGAGTTAATCACTTGGCAATGACACTGTCCCTCTGATATCAATTAAGTGATTGGAATGTTGTAATTAAATCCTATAAATGGACTCAAATGTTCCAGAGAAAAATTATTTTTCATTGTATTAGAAAAATTCCAAACTACTCATCAGAACCTCCAAGGGCCTGCAGAGATGCGCTGGGTTGGGGAGAGCATGAGAACAGGGCAGCCGTAGCATTGGCAAAGAAGGATCACGTCTGTGATGCAAATATAACTTTGGATGCAATTCGAGGAGGCAGAAGAACAGGAGATAATCAGAAATGAAGCAAGAGAATCTAACTTTCTAAATTCAGAGAGTCAGTTGTACACCCGAGATGTGCCCTGTCTCCACATGCAGCAAGCATCATCCTGGCTATTTTCCACCTCCACGTGGGACACCGCATTGCTCGTACTGGAATATTTATCTTCTACTATGGAGTATCTATCACACACCTAACACTGTCCTTTATGATTGTTCATTTCATATAAGTGTAAAATTAAAAAACCCCACCATGATTGATTACCCAGAGGACATACCATTATTAAGCTTGTGGGTGGAAAGTCTTGGAGTTGCTGGGCTAAGTCTGGAGTAGCCCATTCAAACTGAAGAGTGGGGTTTTGGCAAATCTTCATGGATCCAATATAAGAGGTCTACCAGGGGGAGATCTGGGAGATTGCTAGAAGGCTGCTGGGAAAGACAAGTCAGGTGTTAACATTTAGTTGTGACTCAGCAGGGTGTTCTCTAGGAATAATGTGGGAATAAGAAGGGTTAGTATCAGTTCAAGACCCCCAGAGACTGACTGGTTACAAACAATGGAGGTCAAGACAGCTACATCATGGAATGTTAGCTACATTTGGCAACACTCCTATGTAATCTTTAATTTATAACAATGTTTCAGTAGTTTGAAAAAATATTATATAAATTTTGGGAAAATAATCTCTATTTGTGAAGTTTAAAATTACTGGGAAAATGTAGTCATTCTGCTAAGTTCCCATCTAATTTATTGTTACTGTCTCTTTCCTACAACCTGGAGTAGATGTGGTGGGTTAATGTTGGTGGCAGGATAATACTTAACTTATTACATTATCAGTGTGAACACATTAATCAATTTTATTAATTAAAATATATTAAAATCACTTATAATTTAAATAAATCATGTCAAAATCTGTGGTGTGTTCCTTTTTCAAAACAGATTACAGGCACTCAAGAGGCATTTTTTCCTCTATTACAATGATCTCAGTGTTGTGCTTTCCATGATTTTCAACTGACATGAATTATCTAGTAAATGGGGAAGTAAAATTTTTTTGTTCGTTAGGGAAGAGTTAACCATATTATTCTTATATGTCTGTGAAGATTTCTTTGTTTCTACCATATCTGTTACCATTATGAAGAGACATCAGGATTTTAATGGACTGCCAGAATTTTTTCCTTACAGAGAAATTCATAAAGCTATTTAAAATGTATAATGCTCCTTTGTCTTGCTTAAATGAAAAGAATGATGCCATGCATCCTTACTTCTTCAGACTTATATCAGTGTTGTAAGTCGACTACAAACATCCCCACTGATATTTTCTTCATACACAATATATTACTGGGTCCTTGAACTTTCATAAAGACGTGGATAGAAATGAATCCCACTAACATTGGGGGCCTCTCAAATAGAGTCAATGAGGGCAAGCAAATAGAATTTGATGAAAAAATAAAAATGAGGAATAAAAAAAGCAAAAGGAACCCCTGTACACCATTGTTGAGAATGTAAATAGGTGCAGCCACTATGGAAAACAGTATGGCGGTTCCTCAAGAAATTAAAAATAGGACTATCATATGATCTACCAATTCCACTTTTAGGTATCTAACCAAAGAGAATGAAAACTCTAATTCAAAAAGATATAGCCAAGATACAGAAACCACCTCAGTGCCCATTGATGGGTATATAGATGAAGAAGATGTGGAATACTACTCAACTATAAAAAAGATGAAACCTGCCATTTGCTGTAACATGGAAGGACCTTGAGGATATGATTCTAAGTGAAATAAATCTGAAAAAAAAAAAAAAAAAAAAAAGCTGACCTTAAACTTTCAGTGTGATAAAGTATGTGCCCGCTTCTTTCTTTGCATTTGAATTATCTTCCCAATTGGGGGGGAACTTATTCATTCCCACAGCCACACACTTCCTGACATTCTCTAGAATCTTTGAAAGTTGTTGCACTTCAGGCCTCTGGTTACATATCGAGGTTATAGAGATAAAGCTATCGCCCTGGGATGGTAGAGGGGGGCTGAGGGAGAGGGACAACCAACACAGCTAGGATGAAGACCTAGGTGTCCTGGAAGATTTACTCCAGAGGTCTTTCCACCATGTACCTCCAGCTGCCTCTAATAACCATCAGACCGGAGCTGAAGTGAGCCCTAAACTTTCATCTTTTTTATTGCATTTTTTGAGATGTCTCTCAACATCATCCAGAAGTATGAACAACACAAAGGGTCTTCAATCCAAGGGTGAGCTCAAGTTGGACAAATAACAGCAGAAAGAAAACAGAGGGAGAGATGGTCACCCAACCTGGAGCGTTAT